GAGCTCCAGGGCACTTCTGCAGCTCCTTGGGAGATGGAACTGCTGCTGCCCTCACCCCCTGAGCCTCTGTTTGCATGCATTTGTCCTTTTGTGCATTTATCCTTCCATACATTTGTCCTTCCATGCATTTATCCTTCCATACATTTGTCCTTCCGTGCATTTGTCCTTCCATACATTTTGTCCTTCAAACATTTCTTCCATAGATTTGTCCTTCCATACATTTGTCCTTTCATATATTTGTTTTTCCATACATTTGTCCTTTCATTCATCTCTTCCATACATTTGTTTTTCCATATATTTTTTTCTTCCATGCATTTGTCCTTCCATACATTTTGTCCTTCAAACATTTCTTCTATAGATTTGTCCTTCCATACATTTGTTTTTCCACACATTTGTTCTTTCATCCATTTCTTCCATACATTTGTACTTCCATACATTTTGTCCTTCAAACATTTCTTCCATACATTTATTTTTCTACACATTTGTCTTTTCATCCATTTCTTCCATACATTTGTCCTTCCATACATTTGTTTTTCCATACATTTGTCCTTCCATACATTTGTTTTTCCATGCATTTGTCCTTCCATACATTTGTTTTTCCACACATTTGTCCTTTCATCCGTTTCTTCCATACATTTTTCCCTCGTACCTTTGTCTTCCATACATTTACCCTCCCAAAGCAGCCAACCCTGCATTTTCTTCCCCATTTCCATCGCTCCCTTTCCATATTTGATGTCYCCCAGCAGCTTCAGCTGGACCAGGGCAGTCCCACTTTGGGGTTTCCCAGATTCCAAAACTCATTCCCAGCGGGATGGAGGGAGCAGCCCCCAACCCCTCCCTTCTGAAAAAAAAAMMCCMAAAAAAAMCACCCGAAAGCCTTACAATAAGGTGACGTTTTTATTATTTATACAATAAAGAGACTTTGTAATGTTATTCAAAACACTTTTTTTTTTGGAAATACTGAAAAAGGTGGGTACAGCAAAGCCGAAAATGGCTCTGCTGCACTGCACAGCATCGGTTCAGTCCCTGGGCTCCCTCTGCACTGGARTTTCTGCCAAATGCAGCAACCCCACATGGGGAGGGGACAACCTGCCTGTGCCAAGGGACAGGAGCTGATTGCACTCAATCAATAGATTTAAAATAGAATCTTGAAGTACCTTTTTGCACAGAAAATGAAGCAGCTTTCAAGTTCAGTAAGTCTTTATACTGCAAAAAACATGAAGTACATTCACAATCTATGTTAATAAAGTAGTAAATATTTCCTCATTCAGCTTTATTTACATGGATACTGGAATTCAACTGAAAAGTACAGTCATCTGGAATATAGCAATCTTTGAACACATACAAAAATGACCATTTCTGTATATAATTTAAGCTCAAAATCACAATTATCTCAAAATATTAATTACAATACAGCCATCTCCATCATAATTAAACATGTCTTTTATAAAATGGTAAAATCTTTACTAAAGGAAGCTGTTGGTTCTGAACTGGATACAGTACTCACAGGTAGAAAACCGAAGTGATGAGCGAGTGCCCTGCCCGGGAGG